AGGATTTTGGAAGAAAGAAAAGAAAAGAAGAGAGGAGAAGAAAAAGAAGAGAGATGTATTGAGAGGTGTGTATTGATTATTGTTCACACCCTCAAAAGTTTTTTATATTTTGAAAAGAGAAAAATTATAAATAAGCAGCCCAAATGCATAGATAATACAAGAGAAGAGAAAAAGACTAAAACACCCTTGTCTAAGCATTCTCAATATTTAGAAATCTGTTTACTCAACAAATAAACTATAGGCTATTCACATGAAACTAAAAATTGCAAATATGAATAACAAAAATGTCCTTTTACTAATAAATGTGAATAATACAAAATTTCCCCTCTAAAGTGTCACAAAAATGGTTTTAGGGCATATGACTAACATACTAATGATATCATCCTCAAGCACTACATTCATTTAGTGATATTATCCATCAAATTAAATGTCTACTAAAACCTTAACTTCCTTTATGAAATCTTAGGGGACATTGAATTAATTTGGTAATTTGCTGAATCCTTAGGATATTCATGACACTTAAACTTCATGGACATTGACTCAAATGATCTCATTAAGGGTGTGTTCTTTTTTTGGATTTTGAGAGGGGGGAAAGTTGGTCAATGGGATTTTGATTTCCATTGACCAATAATCCCATCTTTTTTTTTTCAGATTTATGTGGGGATTAGGGAAAGTTTATTTTTCTGGGTATCACTTACCCGGCCCATCTCCTAGGTGAGTAAATAACTTTCCCACTTTGGGGGAAAGTTGTCAATATTTGAATGGGACAAAAATGCCCCTTGTAATAATGGATTTTTATGATTAAAATGGTCATTGCCTTATTTACATGGAAAAAAAGAACATGGGTAAATGTACTTACTCGGATAAATCTTTCCTAGGAAACACTTACTTGGGTAAATGCATTTACCCAGATAAGTAACTTACTGAAAAACGAACAGTGCCTTAGTGATATTCATGTCACTTGAACTTCATACAAAGTAGGCTTAAAAACAACTTAATAGAAAATACACTAATTTGTGTGCTATATGTTGGTTTTACAAATCACTAGGATAGAGTTTCAAGAAGTAGCTTATGTGAACTATTTGTGTGATTGTTCAAATTTTATATGTGCTATATACGTATAGTTCATTATAGTTTTACTTGTATGATTGTTCAAATTTTGATCTTGGGTTACAAATTGTGATGCTAAGGAATATTTTGTGTGGTTTTGTGTGTTTGCTCAAAATTTGTGTACCATCTATATATAGTTCATTATAGATTTTAACAAGTATTTAGGGCAACAAATATTCTAACTAAGGCCAGTGGGTAAACAAGATGGTTTGGGAGTTGATAATGAAGACATTGACAAATTAGGACTTGATAGTGTTATATGAATAGGTGTTGGGGAAGAGACATTGATTAATTTGATGGTGGATATAGTTAAAGCAAACAACTAGCCCATGTCTTCCTTTAATTGTGAAAGATGGGCATGCATACATGAAAAGTTTAACCAAATCCATAATAAAAACTATGCCTAGTTAAAAAGCAAGTACAACGCATTGAGAAGGCATCACCAAGGGTACTTAATACTCAGACCATAGGTGACAGTGCATATGGATTTCAGTCATTTTTAACCATTAGATTAACATTATTATACCATTTTAATCGGAAGATAAGGGTTTTGAGAATACTGGACAACTTGATTTGCATTTCTAGCAATTTTAACCTTTAGATTTTAGTTCCAGGGTTTAGGTCGTTAGATGTTAATGGTTGTATAATATTTATTGCTAAGCGATTGAATGCAATTCCTAGATAAGCATCTAGATCATGTAATATACATTAACATGTTGTATTAAATTAGTATTGCTGTGAACCAAGTAGCTTTGGTAAGGTGGTGGTGATGGTCTGAGTCCGCATATGAGTATGGGGATTTATTTGTAGTGTTTGGACCGACCTCTATATTTACAAATCTTTATATTTTTTTGCCTATTTTGCCCTTCAGTTATTATTCTAGAAAGTTCTAGTATTCAAATTAATGCAAATTGAATGATCAATTAATTTGAACTAGTCCCATTTGGCTTGGGTTTATGTCGGCAATCATATTAATGCACTTATATAAATCCATTGCCTTACAATTGCATTAGTATTTGGTTGGGCAATCTCAACATAAAAAGGAAACCAAACAACAAACTAGAGGAAGCGTTGCCTATTGCAGCAATGCTTTTAAGCAAAAAACTAATGTTGAAGGCATAGATGTAGCATGGTGTGGATGAATTAAAAAAAAAAAGAACCATTACTAGGAAATGCCAATGTTACCAAGCACAATCTTATTCCTTAGAAAATGAAATCACCTATTCATAATACTTGTTTGGTTTGGTCTAGAACCAGATTAGATTCCCATTGTTGTTGTTTGGTTCATTTGAAGTTGGAAAAATTAAGTGAATATTTTCAATTTTGGATTATTTTATTATAATATTTTATAATTAATATCTTAGTATTTTTCATTCATTTATGAATGTTTTATTAATATATTATTATTTTATTATCATTCTATTATTTGTGTTTATTATTTTAAAATTACTTTACTATTATTAAATAATTAATTTGTTAGCATTTTATTATTACTTTAATTATATTATATTAATATTTTGTTTATACTTAATTATTATTATGATTATTATTTAATAAAAAATATATTTGCTCTTTATTGTTAATTTATTATTATTTTATCATAATATTATTATTTCATTAGTAATTTACTAATATTTTCTTATTGTTGTATTGTTACTTTCATAATATTTTATTATTATTTGATAAATTGTTTATTAATATTGTATTATCATTATTATTTTATTACTTAAATTATGTTGTATTAATATTTTATTTATAATTTATTATTACGTACTATATGTAATAATTAATATCTTTGTTTGTAATAGTAATTTATTAATACTTTATTATAGTGCTATTATTTATTTTTATTTTATAATATTTTTGTTAATATTTTATTATTTTATTATTAATATATTATTCTTATTATCTTATTATTAATTTTATAATATTTTATTATTTATTTAATATTAGAGCTTGGGTATGTAACCCTGGAATGGGAATCCCATTCACTTGGGGGTCTTAGAATGGCCATCCCCCGTATAGGGAATCCCATTCCCCAAGAATGAGAATCAAAATTCAAAGAGGAATGAGATTTCTATTCTTACTAAACAAACAGTTAGAATAGAAATGGTCCTCACCAAACGGATCCTTAGACTTAGACTAGTACTAGAAGAGCCCCATGCAATCCACGGGCTGGTGTTAAAAGAGTAGCATATTTTACAGAGAATGATTACAAGTTCCCAAACAGAAAAAGAAACCGAATCCGTTGTGAATAGCCCATGTTTTATTTATTTTTTATTTAAAAAAAGTACATAATTAAAGGGTAAAGAAGTAGAAGAAATTAAACCGATGTGGACAGTTGCATTTTAGAATATAGATTACCCTTGATTTGAAATAAATTGTGTCTGAACTCTGAATCGTTACCATCTGAACTCTGAACTCTGAAGATGGATTTCGGTTCTCAAGCAAAATTGAACTAGTAATATTTTATTCTCTTTAGACCTGACAAAAAGTTGATTCAATCTGCCAATTGGATCCAACCCAACCAAAAAAAATAGGGTTAGGGTCTCATATTTAGCTACATGAATGTGAGAATGACCTGACCCGATCCAATTTGGAAAAAATTTGATTGGGTTGGGTTGGGTCATGGGCCAACCCGTTAATCCGATTGTCAAGTCTAATTGAAACTACTTATGCATTGTTAGAAGTTTTCACTCTTTAATTTTTTCTATTTAGTCTTTACTCTTTGTTGTTTCCTCTTTAAATTAAATTGTTAAATGTTCAAGTTTTTTTTTTTATTTTATATTTGAAATTTTAAGGTTAATTCCTTTAATTTTGGCATTTTTCATATAATTTTTTTAAAATTTAGTTATTTTTTGGGATGACCCGAATTGATCAATGGGTCAACCCTAACCCAAACATTTAAGATTAAGATATAGCATTTGATAACCCAATCCGAAATCCAACCCGACCTGAAATTAACCCAAAATGTCTTGACCAAACCCGAACTCGACTCAATCAACCCAATTGCCAGGTCTAAATTTCTCTCGGATGACTGCATCTTTGAGGGATAGAAGTAATAATTTTTCATCATAGGTACTCCATCTACTTTTAAGTTTTAATAATTATTAAAATTCACTATTGGGGCCAAGCTGAAAGAAGCATGGCAAAAGCCCAAGCCAAGCTAAGCCAGGCTTGACATAAAATGCAAGAGGTAATCTTTATTAACAAGGATAATGTATATTAAAATATTAATATAAAAATCATAATATGTGGCAAGTTATCAAGGCCGAATCAGTTAAATTAAAACATTTTATGGTAAAATACAAAAATTTTCTCTGAAGTTTCTCACAATTATAAAAACTTTCCTTATAATTTTATTTTAACAAATATTTTTCTTGAACTTTTGAGAAATTCGATAAATTTTTTTTTATATTTTTTTCTATATGAAAAGCGTTTGACTGATGTACTAGTTTTTGTTAAAATACCTATTTTACCCTTTTATAAATTATTTTATATATAAAATTACTGAAATAATTCTATTTTAATTCAATAAAAATATTAGAAAGTGATCATTAAAAGAGTTTTTTGTCAAATTAAAATATGATTATTTTAATAATTTTGTATGTAAAATAATTTATAAAAGGGTAAGATAAGCATTGATGCATCATTCTATGGTGATGAAAGATAGGTTTTTATCAAGTTTCACAAAAGTTTAGGGGAAATATTTATTAAAATAAAATTATAGAAAATATTTTTATAATTGTCAAAAACGTTAAGAGAGGTTTTTGTATTTTACCCAAAATATTATTTAGTTGTAAATTTTATTTAACAATAATAATAAGCCAATGAAAGAAGCGAGAAAAAAAAAAGAAACCCTAAAGAGAATGAAAGAAAAAGGAGGAGGACTGGAAGAAGAGAAAGATATAAAAAAGATCTTTGTACTGGAAGCCGGAGACCGGAGAGATATAAAAACAAGACAAAGGCCTTTGAGACTTGAGAGTAAATTCCTCGCTAACGCTAATCCTTTCCTCATCATTCTCGCCCATTTTCGTTTCATCCCTGCCGCCACCTTGTCTTCTCCTCTCTCTCTCTCTCTCTCTCTCTCTCTCTCTCATGTCTTTTGCGAAGCGAGTCACACAATATATGTTAGTTTGTTAGTTAGAGGGATAAGTAGATAAAGAAGGAGAACGACCTGGTTAGTTTATTAGTTACAGAGAGCCAAGCATAAGTGGTAGAAGAAGAAGAAGAAGAAGAAGAAGAACACAACAAGGTCTTTCTTCTTAGTGTTAGTATGTAAAGTAAAATGCATGCTTAGAGAAGTTTTTTCTTATTCCCTTTTGTATTCTGCAAGCCTTTGTTGGAATGATCCTTATTGCCAACGATATCTGTTATTGGTGAAACAGGGGAGACTAGAGAAGAGGGTCTGTTTGTTCGTGTATTCATTATTAACCGGAAAATAATGAAATACGTGCTGGTCACCGGCGGCGTCGTCAGCGGTCTTGGAAAAGGGGTGACGGCCAGTAGCATTGGAGTGGTACTCAAGGCCTGTGGGCTTCGCGTTACTTCCATAAAGATAGGTCTGTGTCTCTTCTTTTATCAGAGACTGAGTCACTGAGTGCGTTGTGTGTGTGTGTCTGTTTCCTTGGAAGGAGTTTCTTGCTGTTTCTTTCTTTGTAATATTTTTTGTATACTGAAGCATATATATATATATATATATATATTTTCAATCTCCGGAGTGCTGTTTGTGATTACGATCTTTTTATTTTTGCAAATGAAGCCTCCGTTAGATATCATACAATCAATTTCTTCTGCATCTGGTTTTGATGTTAAGCAAAACCAGTACGGTTTCAGTTAAACGCTGGTTTTTTAATAGATCTTTGTTTACTTTTTCTCTTTCGGGATTATGTTATGATTTTTTTCATACAGATATTTTCTGTATTTTCCCTTTTTATTTTTTTCATTCTTTTTTCCTTTTAAATCTTCTATTCTATCTATAAGAAAGGCTATCATTCTTTGTGAAAATAAATAGTTGCTTTTATAAAAATGGTGAGGTATTGATGAGGCGCCTCAAATTTGCTGGCCAATGGCCATATTTGTCTTATGTGTAGTATCCATGCAGTAATTTCCTCTAGATGCTTGTTAAAGCACTTTACATCAATACTATTTAGTTTCTTTTGGATATTGCACTATCCAACTCAGATGATACCGTTCAAGTTATGTTACAGTTACTCTTCTTCCTTTTCATTTGAGGAGCAAAGAATGTCATTTGCTCGCTGGTCTGTCTTTTATTTTTTTCCTTCCTTTCCCCCCTCCCAGGTGCCAACTATGAAAGTTTCACATATATTTTTTATCAACCTATGCAGATCCGTACCTGAACACTGATGCAGGGACGATGTCTCCCTTTGAGCATGGAGAAGTATTTGTCTTAGATGATGGTGGTGAGGTAAGGGAACACTTTTAAGTGCGCTTGCTCTTTATGTTTATGTGCGTTTTTCTGCTTTCTCCCTTTGAGGGAAAGTATGTTTTTTGGAAGGTCAGCAATTTCCTTTGAAATATCTCAAATGGAATGGGTATTGGGAGTTTGTAGTGGGTACTGTTAATGATGATGGAATATACTGTTACTTCTGTCATGATCACCATCATTGTCATTATACTTCTCTTGCACTAAGCACTATTTTTTCCATATATTGCCTTTTATGAGAAGGTCATTATATTTTTGATCACTGTGCTTTTGTAAAGGTGGTAATGTCACATAAGATTTTTATAGCAATAATGTGTTTTGAAGGTGGACCTGGATCTCGGTAACTATGAGCGGTTCCTAGATATCAAGTTGACCCGTGACAACAATATCACCACTGGGAAGATTTACCGGGTACTCTTTTTTTTAATTGAATATCACCTCATGGTTATCATTGTCCTAATATGTCCATAGCCGGAGGTTTGTCCAATAACTTGACTTGTATAAAGCATCAAGTTAGCGGGAAGCTGATTTTTCTTTGGTGCATTAAACAGTCAGTTATCGACAAGGAAAGGAAGGGAGATTACCTAGGAAAAACTGTCCAGGTGTGTCTCAATTGCTGGAATAAGTTCTGTTACCATTCTGTTCCTTTTGATCAAGGATTGGCTTAGATACCATCTCTCTCTCTCTCTCTCTCTCTCTCTCTCTCCTCTAGGTTGTTCCTCACATTACAGATGCTATCCAAGAGTGGATTGAGCGTGTAGCAATGATACCTGTGGATGGAAAAGAAGGTCCAGCTGATGTATGTGTCATTGAATTGGGTGGAACTATAGGTATATTAAATGTAACTGATACAAGGGTGCTTGATTTCTTATCAATTTTTGATCGCCATGATCCTGACATTCCTTGGGGCAGGTGATATTGAATCCATGCCATTTATTGAGGCCTTGGGTCAATTTTCATATCGTGTAGGTAAGATTATGTATTTGCTTTTCTTGTACATGCCATGTGGCCTACAGAAATCATTTTGCTTTTGGATGCCCCAGTAATTTTCTGTTTCTCCTTGTGTTTTCCCCTAAAATACCTCTTTTGTAGGACCTGGAAACTTCTGCCTTGTTCATGTCAGTCTTGTACCTGTCTTGAATGTTGTTGGTGAACAGGTATATATGAACTATCTGTTTAGTTTCATACAAACCTTTTAAAAGAAATGCTTTTGCTGGATGATGGGTATACACACATAAGCCAGGGGCAAGCCTAATGTGGGATTCCTTGCCAAGCATGGTTACTAATTGCTTTCAATGAATGTCATGGTTATGTTTCAATTTTAGAAAACAAAGCCAACCCAGCATAGTGTTCGGGGACTCAGAGGATTGGGTTTGACACCAAATATCTTAGCTTGTCGCAGCACAAAGGTAATCTTCTCTCCCTTGTCTCTTTCTTGATGACACATGTATCATTGTCACATGCAGACAGTATTTGATTTGGTGGTAGTTGGTCTTAACTTTTATGTATGGGTTCCTTGGACAGGCACTGGATGAAAATGTGAAACAAAAACTCTCTCAGTTTTGCCATGTCCCGGTACCATAACCAAAATATTGATAATACATTGCTTATTGCTTTTTTTATCATGCTATGCAAGTGGCTAATTGTATCAAAACATTTCTCAGGCTGCAAACATTGTCACTCTTTATGATGTTTCAAACATTTGGCACATCCCTTTGCTATTAAGAGTAAGATGCTTTTAATACCTTTGGATTTATTTTGCAGTTTGTATTTTGACTATTTCCTTACCACAAACATATGGTCTTTTTTCTCCTCCTATAGAATCAGAAGGCACATAAAGCAATTCTGAAAGCACTAAACCTTCCATGGTCTGTTTACAAACTCAATTCACTTTTGTTGTATCGTCTACTTGATGAGAGTTGGACTTTATTTATAATGTTTAACCTGTGATAGCTATAAGATTTTCTTCCAGCAGCCTCCTGAGACCATATGTCATCATGTGCAGTGTTGATAGGGATCCTGATTTGAAGGAATGGACTGCAAGGGCTGAGCTTTGTGACATGTTGCATGAGCCTGTAGGTTCAAAATTATTTGATACTGGATTTGAAATTCCTGATTTGTTTATTGCTATTATTGTTTATGTACTGACATTTGATGTCATATTTACAGGTCAGAATTGCCATGGTTGGAAAATATACTGGACTTTCAGATTCCTACCTTTCTGTACTGAAGGTATGTTCTTGTCAGTAAGGTTTGTAATATCTATGCCCACCTATTTACTCTAATTTTAACTTTTAGGAAGTAAATTTCAAGTTTTCCCCCTCAAATGTCTTGATGGTACAATAGTTTCATTATAAGTGCTGGCTGAAGAATCTCTCCAACTTATTTTATATAAATTTCTGCACTTTTGATATATGGCACTACGACAGGACCAGTGTTTTAAAAGTGCAAGGCGCAAAAAAAGGCGTAGGGGTCAATTCGCGACCAAGGCGCAAGGCGTGCGCCTTTTTGAAGCAAGGTGCAAAAATAAAAAAATGCTAAAAAATAAAAAAAATGCCAAAAAAATAAAAAATATTAAACATAATATTAATAAAAATATTAACTTAAATTTTAAAATAAATGTTTTAAAAAACCTATTGTCTAAAATTAAAATACATGAACATAAAATGTAAAGCATATTCAAACGAGAATTTAAAAATAAAATCAAACATATAAAACATTTTCAAGATGTAAAACCCATAATCTCTATTTTTCTTCAATTGCATTACTTCAAGTAGTTAATGTGATGTAAAACATATTACATTCCTGATTCTACGAGCCACCTTTGTGCCACTCTCCGAGAATCCCCTATTTGGCAATGTTGTTCCTTCATTCATCTTATTATAACATCTTCTTAAAAAGCAATTAAAATTATAAAATCATTATTTTTTGTGTGAGAACTAAGAATTTAAGACCCTAACATGGACTTGTTTGGGCTTGCCTTGAGGGGTGTGGTACGGGGTCCGGGGGTAGAGCCCCCTGCCTAGCCGCTAGGTAGATTCAAAGAAAGCAAAAAACATCAAATTTTCAAAAGGCACACGCCTGGGCTGAGGTGCAAGTTGCATCAGGTGCACGCCTAGGTGCGTGCACCTTTCGAAAGGGCGCATACCCTAAAATGTGCCTTGCCCGTGCGACTAGGCACACCTTTTAAATCACTGGACAGGGCAGGGGGTCCTACAAATGTCAGGTCTGGTGGTGGGCTTTGTAGGGGGAAGGGAGGGCTTTCAGACTTCTGTCTTTACTGATGAAGAATAGGAATGGAAGAGAATGTAAACAGCCTTCTGTCCACCTAAAAACGAGTAAGAAATTAAAAAGAGAACTCTTACTGTTAGGATTGACAGCGAAGTAACAAATTTCTAATTACTTGGAAGAAAAAGCAAAAACGGGAAAAAAGAAAAAATGTACATGAGAACATCCTTTTATAGGCTCCAATTTGGACTAGGAAATTGACATAAAACAACTTCTAATTGCTTTAAAACTAAGACAAATCCGTAGGTAACTGATAGGAAAACTCCAATAGGGACTCTAATTCCTAAACAACTCTAACACCTCACTAGTCCTTTTAAAAGTAACTTAATATGAAGATTCCAGAAATCAAGGTTCAAAATTTTGATACGATGCGCCCCATATCGGTGACTTTTTGAAACCCCAAATAAGGGGTTTTTTGGAATTTGGGCACTTTCAGGGGGTAGGCATAGGCAAGCACAAAACCGACCCCCTGAAACATTTTTGGAAAAAACTAAAAAAAGGTTGTGAAGTACCGAAACACCCGATATTGCCTGTTTGTTTTTGTCGTTCATATCGATATTTTAAACCATGCCAAAATTACTAAGAAAAGTAAATAGAAATTTTACTATAAATAGTAATTACGAAAATTACTATAAATAATGCCTTAAAGTGATCATAAATAGTAATTGTAAAATGAAAGTAAATCTTAAACAACTTAAAACCCTATTCTTATGACAACTAGAAAATAAATCTAAAAATCTCAAAAATACCAATATCCCAATCATCTAAATATTCTGAGATTGATTGGATTCGGATTAGATTCTGTTATTTAATATCATTGATACATGGAGCAAAAAATGATCTGAGATTCTGAATATTATACATTATTAATAGAAGAAGACTAAACTTGAATTTGATATTGTATATATTGAACAAAATGACATGAAAATATCTTTTAAGAGACTTGGACCTATGACTCAGTGACTCTTTAGTAAATATACAACATTCAAACCAAATTTATTAATTAATTTATATTAATTTTCTGTAGATATAAGCATAAATCTGAATGTGTAAATATTTTTAAACCTAAGTTATTAATCAATTTATATTAATTTTGTGTAGATATGAGCATAAATCTGAACTATAAATATTTTTAAACCAGATTTACTAATTAATTTATATTAATTTTGTGTAGATATAAGCAAAAAAAAATTAGATCAGATTGGATTGCGATATATCCATATTTTTAGATTCAAGCATAAATCCAGTAATAAATGAAGCATATTCAGATTTGCCTTAATTGGATCATATTTGAATTTAAAATGGATACCATTTGCAGTACCAATCCTGTAAGCTTTGTATGCACGCACACCCAGTTGTTCCAGGAGCTCCATATCAAAATTCTATGAGATGTATCCATCACCCTTTAATTATTTGTGTTGTATTTAGTAAAACTTGCTTTGTTAAAGAATTTCCAATTTATCTCCTCACCTTTTCTTTTTAATTTGCTGCATTTCTTGATCGGTTTCTTTATGTCCTCTTTTTGGCATTTTTCCTTGTTGCATCTATTGAAGGTTTAAGCTCTTTCAGCAAATTTGATTTTCCATTCATAATCAATCCAAGTCCCCTGACTTTCATAAAAAAAATCCAAGTCCCTTGACTTGGTTTTGAATCAGGATTTTCAGATATAACTGAGACATGTACTGTTTGCAATTAGGCTTTTTTTCTTTATGAAATACTAATACGTACTGAGCTCTGCACTAGTGATTGAAGCCTGTATAGGCATGAAAGGAAGATTTAAATGTTAGTATTTGAGAAAGGCCTTGAAACATAAGTGGTATAATAGTCAAATCCAATTAATTCTCTTTTCACAACCTTATTTTCGTCCCAGTGCTATCTTAGGTGATGTATTTGTCTGTGTTTTACAAAACACAAGGATGTGCTTCCTCAACAAAATGCTAGTGAATAGTGTATAGTGATCTCTAAAATCAGTGTTAACAATTTAGTCCTCATTTGATGTCTGAGCACTCCATGCCAATTCTTAGAGCACTGGAGATTACTCTTTGATGCATGAGCAAATGTCTGCATATACATGGGAATGATCTTCAGGATTCTTTAGCGGTCCTTTTGTTTTGTTTATTTTTTATAGATGAAAAGCAGTCCTTTTGTTTTTCCCCATTTGGTATTCTCTACAAGACTGGAAAAAGGCATGGTAGTTCATAACATGTTATACTTTTTCTTTACGTGAATGGAGGCCCATTATTGTAGAATTTTATTAGGTATATATGACAAATCTCCAATCATCATCATCATCATCATCATCCAAGCCTTATCCTGACTATATGGGAAAGCCAAATCCATTGTTAATTCTTGGCGCTTAAATCATTTTTTACTGCTTCTACCCAAGTCCTTTTTAATCTACCCCTAGTCCTTCTAGTCTCTTCAACTTGCAACAAATCACTTCTTATGGATGCTGTTGATGGTCTTCTATGCACATCAGTGAACTCAAGTCTTCTAGTCTACTTTCTCTCATGTATCCCCTATTGAGGCTACTCCTATGTTCCTATGAATGACTTCATTTCTGGTCCTTTCCTTCCTAGTTTTTCCACTCATTCATCTCAGCATACACATATCTGACACACTCATTTTTTATATGTTTTGCTGCTTGATTGCCAAAGACTCTTCTCCATACAGCATAGCTGGCTTTACAACCGAAAATCATGGAAAGGAAACTCCAAACATCTTTAGCCATGCGAGGTGTTAACATTGGATGATTTACCATCTTCCTCGTTCATACCTAACTTATTTGCTAGCCATAGTTGTCAAGGCGACAAGGCACCCTTGAGGCTCGCCTAGCCTAGTCGTCAAGCAGTTTTGCATACTGTGTAATAAAATACTTTTATATTGTTATTTTTTTGAGATTATAATTATGAAATAGACATTATTAAAGAAAAATATTTATTTTTTGTATTTATAAACTAATTTCTTTTTTATTATTTTCTTATTTGTTAGGGTTTAATCAACACAAACATTGCCAACTGCTGTATTGAACCTTCAATGACTTCAAAATCTGAACCAATAAGTAAGGGAAGAACTTCAAATTTTGTCTAATCAACACATTTCTTCTTCCACTTCTTCTTCTTCTTCTTCTTCTTCTTCTTCTTCCACCTTTTCTTTTCTTCTTTTCCTATAACAAAAATAGGGGTTCAGCCCCTATATTTTTTGAATTTTCTTTCGTTTCTTCTTTTTCTTCTCATAATTATGTTGATTTTCTAGACTTAAACATGGAGTTTATAATTTTCTTATGAAAATTATGGATAGTTATTAAAGAAAGTTGGTTATGGAACCTAGGGAACTACCATGATATGTGATTTTTACTTAAAAAAATCCATCACCTAGGCACCCACCTAGGGGGCAAGGTGCCCCCTGTCACCTAGCCTCGCCTTGGTGCCTTGAAAACTATGTTGCTAGCTAACCTGAAAACTCTTCATTTCAGCTTTTCAAGAGTTAGATTCTTCCCCGTGTCATAAGCCAAACAAAAGATTCTGCCCTTGGAGGAATAGGAGTGTAGAAGATACCACTGTGCTACCTAACTTATTCTAGAGATGTCTTTGGTAGAACATTCCTTTTGAGTCTTCAAGGTTGTTTGATCTTCATTTCTAGGGTTTAAAAGTGCCTCCTTAAAATCTTTTTTCAATTGTTTACATTCTTCTTTTTGTAGCATTGGTCTTTGAAATGGTGCATTCCATGGAACCACTTCCCCACTGAATTCAAAACCATTCATTAGCAGTTGTGGGCTTAATGATATTAATGTGAGTTAGACCTGCTCATGGGCCAGGCTTCAGGCCGGGCCCATTCAAATTTTTGCAAAAGCTAAGCCTGAGCCTGGTCCATGAACAGGCCTAACGTGGATAACTGGAGAAAAATCATAGAAATCAAGTTTCAACAGATTTCTTCATCAGTGATGATTTTGTAATCTTTTGGGATTTGAATTTTTGTCAATTTGAGTTTTTTGACAGTTGGTGTCACAGGAATAAAATCATTTTAAAGGATCAAATTAGTTTGAGAAGTTTTGTGAGAATCTTTTTTCAATTTTAAAGTTCTTCAAAGTTAAGGCTTTAAACACGTTACATTCTTGCAGTCCAAAGGGTCAAATCTTGTACATTAACTTGATTTTGCTCTCATTAGATCTGTTTTTCAAGTACCCTTTCAAGTACCCATCCAACAAGATCAGTATCTTGTGAAGTGAATCCAATTCATTTTGTGGAAGTTATGGCCACTTTAGTAATAGGGTGTAAGTCAATGCTATGAGATTTGGATTTAGTGTTTTTGTGTTGTCTTAATGTTGTTTATGACTTGTTTAGTTATCAGTAGGACTAATAACAGGTATTTAGTATTGTTTTAGGAGTCTAGATCAATATTTAAGTGTTCCCATGTATTAGTTCTTTTTCAGTCACTTTTCAAATTGGAGTCTATAATGGGATATCTGAACCTTTATATTGAATTTATAAATAGAATTATTGTAATTAAACCTTTAATGAGTTAATTTGATCAATACAAGTTTAGTTTAATTAATACTGCTTTTATTGTGGTCTCTCTCCCCTCCTCCCCTGATTTTAAATAGCAAGAGTTCCTCTCTTTCTTTTCTAATGTTCTTTACTGCAGTAATATATTTTCCTCGTTAGCCTGTAGCAAGAGCAGAAATTCTAGAGGACAAAAATATCTAGTAAAGGCTATTGATTTCTAACTGCAAAAAGAGTGATTAGCCTGATAAAATAGAACCAAACTCTCCAGAATTTATCCTGTCACTATAGTATCAACAGTAAAACCAACAGACCTAGCTGTCCATTATAAGTTTATAACAAGATGTTCAATATCATGGACAAGGCCTAGACCCATCTGTGTCTCTTTCCATGCTCCATCTCACATGACCAATATAATAGGATGTCAGCACTATGCAGCAGAGGACTCTAGTGGAGATAGTCATTAGTGGTTAAGACATAGCCATGGTCCTGCTACTTTAGTCCAATGGACCACTTTTTAGTGATTAAGCAAATGTTTTATTGAATACACTGAACCTTGAAAATTTTGGGATTTTTATCTCCTAGATGCACCAAGTATGGCTATGGGTAGGGAAAAATGTCCAAACATCAGCTTTCTCCTCATGGCAAGTGGTGCATGTATGACAATGCCAGAAAGTATTCTATTAGTGGTTACACATGGTATTGGAGGGTTTTGGAAAATAGATGTTCATTCATGCTGGACAATTCTAGCTACAGCCATATGGCAGGATAGGTTAAGACGGTTAAGAAGTGATCCACTTTTTTCATGGTGTAATTTGTAATGCGAGGGAATGAGGCAGGTTTGTACCCAAACCAACATGTACTTGGAAAGTACTGAGGTAATTTGGTCCTGTGCTTATGCAATTGTTATGGAATTCCTGATATCTCATGCTCTGTATCAAAGACATCTATGAGCACCTGTATATTTTTGCATTTCATACACTTTTTATGCATCTAAATGCTTCAACATATTTATTTAATGGATATTAATAAAAAATATTTATTTAGTGGATACATTCCTTATGCACTTGTTAAATGCACTCATTCATGATTTGGGAGTTTCTGATGTGTCTAATTCTGTATGATGGCACTTGTGCATGTTCTAAAGGGATATTTGAAACATAAAATGCTAATATTGCTGATGAGGTAATCAGAAAATTCTGTATTTCCAGGCTCTTCTGCATGCTTCTATTGTATGCCATAGGAAACTGATAGTAGAATGGGTTCCGGCTGCTGACCTTGAAGATGCAACTGCAAAGGAGGTTTTTGCTAATTCTGGCATAATATGCTCTATTTATTTTTGTCCATTTTGCTAAGTTTACAATCTGACAAATACTTTCTACTTGCAGTCTCCTGATGTGTACAAAGCTGCATGGAATTTGTTGAAGGTGGTTCCTACTTTAGATTTATGATACTCTTAAAATAGTTGTATGATTAAAGTGGTGCTAATTGTTAAGGGGTTTCTTTACCTATGTTTCCTTTCATTTGTTTCTCAGTTGTCTAAACATCCTTTCACATCAGGGTGCAGATGGTGTTCTAGTTCCTGGTGGTTTTGGTGACCGAGGTGTGCAAGGAAAAATTCTTGCAGCAAAGTATGCCAGGGAGAATAGAATTCCTTTCTTTGGTATTTGTCTAGGAATGCAAATTGCTGTCATTGAGTTTGCACGATCTGTTCTTGGTTTGCAAGATGCAAACAGCACTGAGTTTGACCCTGCAACTGCAAATCCTTGTGTAATATTCATGCCAGAGGTATATATTTCTATATTTGGTTTCCATTCGAAGGTCTCTTCATTTTTTTCCATCTATTATTTGGTTGTGCCAATTCAGCTATCTATGAACAGGGTTCAAAAACTCATATGGGAGCGACTATGCGGCTTGGATCAAGGAGGACGTACTTCCAGGTTATTGATTGTAAATCAGCGAAGTTGTAAGGACCACTAATTCCCTTATCATACATAGTAGCTACCACCCATAATTTTGGATCTTAATAACTTGAGAATATGGAGATGCTGGTCTCCTAAACAAATATTCTTCTTATTGGACTGATTTTCATGGTGTTAGATATGGCAATGTGAGTTCTGTTGATGAGAGACATCGACATAGATATGAGGTATGCATTCTACATATTGGCATCACTTATTGTGTTCCTTTCATTTTGTTGCATGGTTTTCTATGTGGGTTGTCATTGCTCTATAATGTTCCTTACATTTGAGTAGGTCAATCCTGATATGGTTCCGCAGCTTGAAAATTCTGGTCTCTTGTTTGTTGGCAAAGATGAGACTGGTCAACGCATGGAGGTATTTCTTTGCATCAATTTGATTTTGAATTTTACATCTATATTAGAAAAAGAAATCTTTATGATTATTTATGTAACAATTTGGTCCTGAAATTCATGCATTGTGTACAGATTGTTGAACTGCCTGGTCATCCATACTTCATTGGTGTTCAGTTTCATCCTGAGTTCAAGTCAAGACCTGGGAAACCTTCTGCACTGTTTTTAGGTATTTGTTTCACTCATCCAAAAATGTCTCTTGAGAAGTTAATAGTGAGAATTTGTGGTATAATCTACTCAAAAAAGTTGGGAAATGAAATGTATCCAAGTAGACAAGAAAAGGGTACCTAAAGCCACATAAATGATATGCACAAGGTTGGCTCCCATTTCTGTTCTTGGAGAGTACAGGATCTACTTACGGATTTTCTATTTGGTTCTATGGCTATGTTGATTAATCTTCTATGGTTGTCTATAAGCTAAAAGGGGGGAAAGACCTGAGATAATTGTCTTTACTGTTCTGCTTATGATGTATCTTCATCTCTGTTAGTCTTAATATCATTTACCTGGGTTTTGCTCAGTTTGTTCAGTTTTCATGGTCATTGTTCACCAGTGTCAGATATTTTCATTTAGATAGTGGGGCTGGGAACATGTCTAATTATGAGAGTTGGGAAGAACTTAAATTTAAAATTAAATAACTAGTTCAATGACTCAAACTTATGGTTGCCTTCTATGGTTGAAGTTTCCTATGCATATATATGCTTCTATGCAGATTTATTTAGTTGCATGAAAAGTGGAAAACTTGTGTTGTGCTGCTTGTATGTAATGTATTTAGTTGTATCTTCTGGTGAGTTTTCAAGGGGAGATGGGAGCTAGGACCCTAAATTAAGGGGGTTTTGCTAATATGTATTTTTTTGTTTTTTAAAACTAAATTAATTTCGGCATCAGCAAAATCATGTTTTTTTTGCTGTAATGGCAGTTTTTTTTTGTTTTGAAAAACAAAATCATGCATATTGTTGAATACCCCCTAATGTGATAGCATTTTGAGTCTTTGATCATTTGCATTCTGCTCTGTCCACATTTAAATCCTGATGCCAATTCTTTCACGTGTTATAGGACTTGTATTGGCAGCATGCGGCCAGTTGGAACCTTTCTTGCAGAATTCTGTCCGTGTTAACAAGGTAACAATGGTGAAGAATTCGGTAAGCAATGGGCCATCGCCAGGGAAAGTCCATCAAAAAGGAAACGGGAATGCAATCAAGGCTGCAAATGGCTTATTAAACGGTGTGTACAGCAATGGTAACGGGGTGCACTTCTAGAGGAAGGAGGTGATACTTTTTGGGCAGGGTTCTTTTTATTTTTTTGAGGACTTGTTTTGTGCTCGCGGGGAAGATCTGTACAGTTGTGGACTACCGGTAGAGGTTTTGGGCTCTTGGAGTATGGGACAGTGCTGGTGCTGGAGTCCGGGCTCTTTTTAACCGCCTGTTGTACTTTCCAGTTTCCAGTGCAGTGGAGGAAACGGGTTGCTGTTTACTGATGTGTAATTCCTTTTACCTCCCCATGGAGCTAAGTTTCTCAGTTTTGCAATGATTTTGCCGTCCCTGTAAATGGAAAAAGTACCTTGATATGTTGGATGGTTTTTATTTTTTGTTGAGAAGTAAGAACTCTGTTATCTTCCTTTTCTGTTTAATGGTAAGTATTTTTTTCCATGAAAAAAGCACCTTGATATGAAGAGGACATTAGAGCATCAGAAATGTTGAATTTCTGATTTTTTTTTTTTTAATAAAGACCTTTTCTTCATTGTAATAAGTTCTTTTTTTGGGATTCATGAGAATATGCCATCTTATAAATGAGAAGATAAGATCCCTCTTTTTTCTTTGTCAATAAAGATTTCCTGAGAGGTGTCTTCATAAATTCAGGATTTTAAGTTATGTATAATTTAGGAAAAAATCAGTTGAATTGCTCAATTTTCAATTGACGCATGTGGTTACAACTTACAAGTGGACAAGTTCTGTTTTTGTTTCCTTTTGTTTCCCCAATTATGTAGTTATCATGGTGTAAACCTTGGGCTGGTAACGTAATGATTTTTGAGGTTATGGATATTTAAGTGGCATAACTAATTAGAGTTGTCTAAGGATTTATTTTTTCACTTGCCTATAACTATAATACATATAATATATAATATTTTGTTTTATCTAATAATAGAATTCACTTTATACACTTATTATAATATAAAAGTATTATATATTTAACATTTTACACAAAAGCTATAGACATGGAATCAAGCCTGGGCTGGTATCACATGTGCGAAGCCCAGCCCAATCTATCTTCACCTTAATTTAGGGCTGCAAGGCAGGTTGCCAAATTTGAAGAATTTCAACTTGGCATGTGTTGGGGTTCAGGTGCATAGGTGAGAGGGAAGTATAACAAATTGAGAGTTGGAGGCAAACTCAAATCAATAAGAACAACCAAAGCCATAACACCACCCTTTCTTGGGATGTCGGTTTGAGCGAAGAACGAAGACCATGAAGAAGAAGAACCAGAATAATACTATGGAGACCCCAGTAAACTATAAATATTTTCCATTCTTTTATCTTATTTATTATAAACCCCACATTGTATTCACCCTACGTAGAAGTAAAGTCCACTTAGATGATAATGCTTATCACTTGAGTTTCTTTAAGGGTAAATTTCTTAAACTACCCTTATGCTTTAGCTAATTGACTAACTATACCTTTACTGTTTGAAAATTGACTGATGCTACCTCTACTATTTATGACAATTTACTAACTCTATTTTTACCGTTAACCTCCATAAAAAACAATGCAAAATGCCTAAACTACCCTTCGGAGTTCAGATGCTGTCGCCGCTGGGTGGAGTTATATATATCTTTCTAGTTTCTACTCTACTTCTTTCTCTCTACCCTTATGGTAAATTTCTACTCTACCTCTTTCTCTCTCCAATAGTTTCTACCCCACCCMCCCGCCACTGGGTGGAGTTACAGGGTAGTGCCACCGTCATCGACCAGAGGAAGAAGAGAGAGAGAAAGAGAGATCGGGCTTCAGAGGGGTTGTCGCCGCCGTCGCCTAGAGGAAGGAGAGATATTGAAGTTCAAAGGGGGTTACCATTGTTGTCGCCCAGAGGAAGAAGAGAGAGAGAGAGAGGTCGGAGTTAAAAGGGGGTTACTGCTGCCGTCGCCTAGAGGAAGAAGAGAGATGGGAGTTCAGAGGGCATTGCCGTCTTCGTCGTCGTTGTCGTCATCCAGAGGAAGAAGAGAGAGAGAAAGATTGGACTTCAAAGGGAGTTGCCGCCACCGTTGCCCCTATTCAGTTCCCTCATACCACTTTAGTTTCCACCACCGCCGCCGCGCCAATTTGGTTCACTTGTTCTCTACTTCAACAAAGCAACCCCAATGTTGAAGAAGAAAGAGGATGAAGGGTGTGCCGGTTCACTCGTTCTCTGCTTTAGTTTTCTTTTATTCTTTTTTTGTTCTTGATTGTGAAAAGATTGATAGATGCTTTACTTTTTTTTTTGGTTTTTTTAGTTCTTTTGTATATTGCGGATACGGTGCAGTTCTCTCTGTGATATGATGTTGATGGAGATTGTGGGTGGAAGATAGAGGGAAGAGAGAGAGGTCGAAGGAGAAAGGTGATCTGGTGTTGATGGAAATTGTGGGAGGAAGATAGAGGGAAGAGAGAAAGGTTGGAGGAGGAAGGGTGTGTTGGGTCGAAAAGGAAGGGGATAGGGGTAGCATTGGGTTTTAAAAATTTTTAAACATCACGTGGTGTCACGTGTTTATAGGTTTTGACGGAATATTAATGGATGTTAATGGCAAGGTTCAAAGTATCGATATGTTGTTAGACAGTGTATGCCCTTAGCTCCAATCAGAATGATGTACATTATGACATTTAATGTAAATGAATAAAGTACARATTTGATTCATRTTATTATGGTGTGTTTCTATGTAATACCCTTAAATTGGACACATATGAGACTCGTGTTAATTGAGAATCTTCACAGCCGTTGGATAGAGTTGGGGAGGTTTATCCTGTCAA